GACGGGACAAGGTCCCCCAAGGTGACGGTTACCAACTAGTCACCAAGGCGGCGACCAGAACCCTGAGGCGGTTTGGAGCAAGAGGCCAACTAGGCGTTACTAGGGCGGTTACCAAGGCAGTTACACCCGGTGGCTATCAAGAAGTCAATGTGCATTTATTGAGTTCAAACACCAGTTTTTCCTCGCCGGAAAACAATCTCTCTGTGCTTGTGCCTTGGACCGCCATTGAAGCTATTTGGACTACTGGGACTCCTCTCCAAGCTCTGGAACACGATTTTCCCGGACAAATTCAGTTGCGGGCTGTCTACTGAGACTCCTCTGCTCTCGTCGCCTGATTCACCACCAGCTCAGGCGGAGGTTGTAGCTCTCCGCATTGGGCTTCTCCCGATTCTGCTCGCCGTATTAGTTTCTCCTCCAATTTTCGCGGCTCGCGGCTTCACCATTCTCATCTGCGGCGGGTTCTGATCGCGGTTGGGGACGAACGGATTCGGACTCTGCAACAGGTTGAATGTAAATCTCAAATTGGAAGCGGCGTTGGGCTTCTTCGAATCGAGGGAGAGTCTAGGGAGATCTTCGTGCTTGTGGCTGGATGACGAGGATGAGAGCGATAGGCGGGATGAGGAGAGGAAAACCGACGAATCGCAGTCGAGGTCTGATTTCAGCAATGGAAGACTCAGGGTGCAGTCTAGCGAGGAATTGGAAGAGGAATTGCCGCAGCTGTTGCAGGATTTCAAGCTTCTATGGAGGAAATGCCTCAATGATTTCTGGTTATTGTTGGAAGAAGAAGACGACAAGGATGGGGAAGCCGACGACGAGGAAGGAAACGACGCCGCCTTGGAGCTGTTGTTCTAGTAAAACTTCCTCAGACCCAGGATCTCTTTCCATCGGCTTGAACATCGAGGCGCTTTCGGCGAGAACAAGTACTGGTCAGGTTGAGGCGGAACTCGTGACCTGCATCGGCACCAACTTCCCGTCGGAGAAGAGCTTGCGGCGGGGAGCATCGCGCCACGGTCGTCGAGGCGGAACTCGAAGTCCGGGAGGAGATCTTGCTGCTGCTTCGGTGGTGGAATCTCAGCCACCAGAGGCGGCGGAGGAGGAGAAATAGCCGGAGCTGGCTTCGAGTGCCGCAGCTGCTGTTTGTGGTGGTGGTGTTTGGACGAGGAGTCATCCTCGAGGCTGAATGAGATGCGAGGACTGAGCCAGCAGTACGAAGAGTACGTTCCCGGCGGTGGGAAGCTCTCCGCCGAAAAATGAGATCCGGGTGGAGATTTGAATGAGTACACGGCTGGGGTTGACATTTTTTTTAATTGCTTTTTAATTTATTGTAAGAGCATCCACATTGGCATTTCATTCTCAATTGCAAAATGATATGGCATAGGTGTTTAGAGCATCCACATTGGTGCAATTGCATTTGGAATTGCATTTGTGATTTTTTTTTTTAAATAACACTATTTTTGCAAGCCAACTCACTTTACTTTCATTATACCTACATTGGTGCAATTAACTTGTAATTGCATATGTGGCCTTATTTTTTTAATTATTAAAATTTTTTATTAATACCTTTTTATCCATACTGCAAGTAAATAAAATTTTAATTTAATTTAAACAAAATCTATGCAATTAATGGAAACGAGAAGAAAAGATTGAGGCAAAAAGAAGCATATAAAGAGAAAAAGTTGATGCTGAAATTAATGGAAATGAATTTATCAACGAAGACTAAATCACAAAGAATACTATATGAAAGGAAAATTAACCAGCTACTCGAAGACAAGTGATTTATATTCATGATTTTGATATTTGTTTTGTTTCAACCTAGCATTTCTTATTATATTTTGTAGTTAATTTTTTTGCATTTTAAATTTGGAGTGTACTATGGCAATGAACATTAAATAAAAGAATAAGTTAATATTTTCAAAAAATCAATATAAGCACTTCGTTATTTGTATGTATGAAATTAAAGTAATAAAAAATAACTTTTTCTATTTATATTATTATGGATAGTTTATTATAATTAATAAAATCATTATATGATGCTATTTACTCCCATTGGTACAATTGGTACAATAATAAGCTAATTTAAACACATTGTCCGTGGAAATTATTCAAAAAATTCCAATAAAACTTAAATCTATGCCAAGCAAAGCCACACGCTGACAGTTAAATTATACAAGAAAAAACAAAAAGAAAAAACAAATGATTAAGTTTTCCACGCTGGCTTGCATTGAGTACTTGCAACAAATGAAATCTTTCATTTTTGCAATTACTACTCCCATCCGTGCAATGGGAAAAATCAATTGCAAAACTCTGCCACGTCAAATGCAATTGCAATGTGTGTTCCCGATGGAGATGCTCTTACAATTGTAAAACCAATTGCATTGATGTGGCTTCTAATTGCATATTTGAAAGCTTGCAACAAATGCAATTCCATATGCAAGTAAAAAAAGCCTACAAAAATAGAATTTTTTTATTTTATATTATTTCTTTTCTCTTTTACTTAATTTTCTATAATTTAAACATAATATTTAATTACATTTTCAATTGCAAGTTAATTGCATTGATGTAGGTGAATGAAATGAATGTGATGCGAATTGCAAAAAAATTGAGTTGACAATAAAAAACGCAAATGCAATGTCTTTTGCAATTGCATTGACGGAGATGCTCTAATAATGAGGTAGAAATTATTAAAAATGTATTTTTTACTTGCCACATCACTCATCTAACGGTCAATTATAGTTGACCGACACATCAGCAAAAGTTAACGGAGACTAACGGCAGTGACCAAACTTGAACTGTTAAAATTTCTTATTCATCGCCCTAATTATGTTAAATTTACTTTAATGCCCTTAATTCATTTATTTATCTTCTAAACACTTAAACCCAAAACAAACTCATATATTACACCAAATAACAAAATATAATCAAAGAAAAAACGACATAATTTATAATATTTTTTTAATTATAATTCTTTTTTTCAATTGAATAAATTCTTCCACATATAGTTAGTAATCATCAGTATCAGATACAATATAATATGAGTTCATCCCTGTAACCATTTAACCAACTCTCGATGCAGACACCCAGACCCTAGGTTACAGCTTTCCACCCATCTTCAAAAAACTGTTAAAAATCTATCATCAAATAAAAGATGGTAAAGTTGAAATTGCATTCCAAGCTCACATAAATATACTTTCCAAAAATCTATCATCAACCAGCCTCTTCTTGAAGCAGGGGTCCCCGGTCCTTGCCTTTGGAAGAACAACGGCAAAGCCAGGAATGGACAAAACTGATAGTCCCTAGGCAGATGGTGTCACCATTTCTTTAATTAGAATTACAATCTTCGTGTCCTTCTTCCTCTTGCTCGGCGCCGACAGAAGGTGCAGTGTAGCCTTCTTCGTTCTTCTTTCGTTTGCTTGGGAGGAAATCAGACACCGACAACTAGAAAAAAAGCATCAGCAATAGTCGGGTTGAGCTGGGCAGCGCCGGAGATAAGAATCCGGCAACGACAACAGTGGTCAGAGGACGGAGGACCTTGGCTCGCCGACCGCTGGGCGGCGGGCTAAAAGATTTTTTTGTTTAGGGTTTAGGTTGAAATTGGTACTAGGGGTAAGAATGTTAATTTGGTATGTTTTTGGGCGAAAAATTTTAAATTTTAGGGCGACGGATAGCGATTCAGATTCTAGTGGCTAACGTGAACTTTACTAGTAATTCAAGTTACCAAACTTGCAATTTAGCTGTTTATTTGATGTACTGTGATTTTATATCCATTTGTTTCATTGTCAAGTATATGAGAAATGTATCGTTTGGTTTTAGTGATTGTTTGGTTGAGATAGTTACAATGCATGTATTGTACACAATGCATCGTTTTTTTTTTTAATTTTCTGCACAAACAATACATGCATTGTTTGCATGATATGACACAAACTATCCTCAAAATGAGTGATAGTTAAATCCCAAGTTTTTTGTGAGATTGTTTAACTATTGTTGTGTTTATTTTTCTCCAAATATGTCTCTATTTTTTTATGTGTGTTATTTTTTAATATTAAAAATAAAGGGTAAAAATTATATTTCACCCAAAAAGTAATATAACTTACTCAAATAACACAATAACTATCACATAAACCAAAGACCAAATTCATTTGTGTAGCCAAAACTTTGACGTTTGTGACAATAATAGCCACTTTTGGGGAAATACCAATAATAGCTAGAATTTTGAAAGTTTCATGACAAATATAGCCATTTCCGTTACAAACTTTAACGGTGTTAGAAACTCCGTCAGTTAAGTTAACGTCAGGCTGACTAGGATGCCAAATCATCACACACGTCACCGACAAGTCATCGATATCATTGCCACATCATTTTTTTTATCTTTTAATAATTCCAGGTGGATAAATATTTTTTTTTCCAAATAGTATTTTTTTTACCTAAACTAAATTTTTTTATTTGTGAAAACTAAAAACAAAGTATATAAATAATAAATAAAACAATAAATAAATACATTTTTTTTATCTCATGTCCCTCTCTTCTCTCTGCCGCCGCCCACAGAAGACCCCTTTCTTCTCAATTCTTTCTTTCACCTTCCTCCCCAAATTCTCTCCCATCAATCCCTAATCCAGATCAAGCGGCTTCAACGATGAGGACTCTCCAGCAATCAAAGCTTCCCCGGAACTGCCTCCGAGATCCGTCAATCCGGCAGCCGAAACGTCACCTCAATCGTCCAAGAGAACCCCCACTGCTCATCTCCATAGCCTCTGACCCTGCGCCGTCTCAGTTGACCCTGCTGGGGTTTCGGAATAGAGAGACACCGAAGACTGGACAAAGCGAGATTTAAAGAGAGAGAGAGAGACGAAGGCGTAGCATACCTTTCACCACCGTAGATCTCGAGTACAGCCTACCGGGGCCGCCGGAGAAGAAGATAGAGAAGGCGACAGCGGGGGGACATACATCCGCTTCGACGACAGGCGATAGCTTTCACAAATGGAACGACCATGTTGTTGGCAGGGTCAACTAGAGCAAGAAGAATAGGAACATGAAGGTGTGGTGGCGAAAAGGGAGAGCAATGGACAGAGAGAGAGAGTATTGGTGGCGGTCTGGAAAGTGAGAAGTTTGTGAATCTCTGCTTTGGGTCGAAAGGTGTGAGTAATTCTCGGCTGGGAAATCTCCGGTGGCAAATCACTCCTATAATCAGAAGAAGTCGATGATGGGGAGTGGTAATCGCAGATTGAGCAACCATAGATGAACCCAGAAGCAAAACGATAAGCAGAGAAAGACGTACCCAGAACCCTCTGCTACCCAAATTGCATATCTGGAAAAATCAAGAAGCTTCAACGGCAGTCGCAATTGCGGATTTGGAAATGGTGAATAGAACTCAAAACCTTCTGTTATCCAATGCACTTCTTCCTCTTCGCATTCTCTCTCGAAGGTAGCCTCCATTCTCGTCGATTTGTGGCGGAGGGAGATGAATTTGTGGGTGGGTAGGTGAGGAAAAGGCAAATTGTGTTTTTCAATTTTCTTTAATTTTTAATTTTTTAATTAAATCCACGTGGGAAATACGTACAAGACAAAAATTGCCAAATAGGACGATCTGTTAGTCCAGTCAGCACGCTAACTCACACCGTTAAAGAATTGGATGGAAGTGGCTATTTTTGGTATTTCCTCAAAATTGGCTATATTTGGCAAAACCGTCAAAGTTTTGGCTATACAAGTGTATTTGGCTGAAATATATATTATTATGCATGTATTGATAACGATGTATTTATTTAACTATCAGCAAAACCAAACAAGCACGTACTTAGATTTGTGTAACTCAATTGCAGAATAGTGAAATCATTAACAAGTCGAGATTGTAGATAGTGGCAAAATGCTGCCTGGCCATTCACTCAAATATTTCCATAACTGGACAGCAAGAATAGAATTAACACCCAGTGAGATTCTGCGAGTTGGCGATTATGGAAAGAGAGGACAAAAAGCTGTCTAGCAGTAGCAGGAGAGAAATTGGAACGCCATTTCATTCGCTTCCATCACTCCAAACATAGGGACTTCCTCTAATCCCAGGAAATAGCAGCAGCCTTTGCAGCCAGATGACATCAAAATGAACCAGTAGCTTCGGGTGAAATTGAACGATGACTAAAATTCCTCTCCGTTTTTTTTCCCTCCATCTAGCATCCCCTGAAACTTTAGGCCTATAAACTTGCAAAATTTCACCTCTCGTCTCAGCGCACATAAACCCTTTTCTTTTCTCCATCGCAAAATCATGGGTTTCCCGCAGTCATTTTTCACCTTCATAATCATCATCTTTTCAACAATTACATACCAATCACACAAAGTTCAATCCTCTCCATCACAGGCGGAAACCCTCTTGGCAATCCAGCGTCTCCTCAACTACCCACCTGCCTTAAGCAACTGGAACAACTCCACCACTGATTTCTGCTACACAGCGCCGGTCCTATCTCTCATGGTGATCTGCGAAAACGACGCCATAATCGCCCTCCATATCATCGGCAACAGCAACAGAGACAACCCAAGTTCCTATCTTCCACTGATCAACTTCTCCATGGAAAGTCTGGTCACCACTCTCGCCGCCCTCCCAGCGCTGAAACGGCTGACCCTGTCTTCTCTGGGTTTAACCGGTTCATTGCCCGCTAAGATCTCCCATTTATCGTCACTGGAAGGACTCAATCTCAACTCCAATTTCCTCCGCGATCCGCTCCCTGAAGAGCTGTTGTCGTTGCCTAACCTTGCATCCATTTCTCTGGACGACAACTTATTTGCGGGTAATGGAAAATCAAATTGCAACCCATTTGTGAACTCAAATCCATCTCACTCTGTTTCCCATCTTGTTTTCTAGGGGAGCTGCCAAATTGGATCGGATCGCTTCCGGCTCTAACGTCTCTTAGCATAAAGAAGAACATGTTCAACGGTACATTACCCGATTCAATCACCAACCTGACGAATCTCGAATCGGTCACGCTCGCGCAGAACTACTTCCAAGGGAATCTGCCAGATTTGAGCAGGCTGAAAGGGCTTCAGGTGGTGGATTTGGAGGGGAATGAGTTCGAAACAGAGTGTCCTTGTTACTTGCTGGGATGGAATTCAATGACCGTTTTCGACATTGGTGGAAACAAGTTCAGTGGTAAGCTGTCTGAGAGCCAGAGCTGTGGCGTTGGGCTGGAGTTTGTGGATCTTTCTTCCAACTTTTTGACCGGGAATCTGCCCAAGTGTCTTGCTGTCAAGAACTCCAGCAGGACTGTTCTGTTTGATGGGAACTGCTTGAAGGGTACTGGAGATCGGGCAAGTCTGCAGCGCCCATTGTCATATTGTGATGGTCAATCCTCTGCGGGAAGCAGACACATTAGTGATCTGCTGATCACGATCACCACGATGATTGTCCTGCTGGTAGCTGGATGGATTGAATAGTACAAGAAAGGCATTTGAGAAATTAAATGACAAGGTTGAATTCAGCTTGAAATTTAAATATATTGCTAATTAAAGTATCCCAGGTATGATATAAATACTATGGTGGTCAATAAGTCACGGAGAACCGCGATGATGTGAAAATTGAACTTTGTATAGTATCAATTGAAGTACGAACTTGAGCGAATTGAGATTAGATCGACATTTCATTTTTTTTCCCTCTCAAAACATGAAATCCCTAAATTTGGCTCATTTATAGTACTATTCCTTGGTTGTTATTATAAATATTTGGATTTAATCAACTCATCATAGCTTCTTACATTGTTGATAAGTTTGTGCCTATTATAAGGGTGTGTTAAGAAAGAGTGCCTATAACTGTACCCCAATCAAAGTAGACGACGAGACGACCCAAAAGCATAAAGAACCTTTAGCCATGCTTGAGAGTTTAGAGTGTTGAGACGAGTGTGAAAGATGAAGGCGAAAGTTTACTGCACCTTATCCACTGATAATGTATATGGCATACTAAGAATTCAAACGATTTTCTTATAGCTAGAACTATTTATTTTCGAATCTTAGTTTTATCACCTCTTAGAAGGGTTGAGTAACATACAAATGCAACGGAAAGATTGGCGGGATTCAAATATTATAGTAGTTAGGGTGGAAATCGGTACCGTATCGGTATCTCAATACCAAATATCGAAATCCCGAATACCGAATTACACTCTAAAATCAATCCCAATCTCAATTCCTAAATAATTTCGGTATCCCAATCTCAATCCCTGAATATTTCGGTATCCCAATCGATATTATCAAATACAAAATTAATTACCTTTGTAATTAATAATTAAATATATAAATTAGATTTTATTGTTTAATTTAGGGCAAAGTGACTAAGTAAAGAGTCTTGAGTTGCATAGAGCTAATATCTCAAGTTCTTGTAATTGGTAATCTTTAATTTGACGAATTTGAGGTTGAGAGACAACTAATACTAGTGTGAAATAGTGATGGAATGATCTATGCATAATTAAATGACACTCTTGGTAGTTGATGGTCGCCTAGTAGTGAATGAAAGAGTCTAGTTCAAAGGATATATTACGCACTAGCTTATATTTCGGTATTGATCGGTATTTCGGTATATCCCGATCCCAATCCCGTAATCCCTAATACCGAATAACAATTGAAATTCAATCCCAATCCCACAAAATAATACGTGTATTTGATAATACCAAATATAGACAAATTCGATACTGTATTCAGTATATCCCAAATACCGGTACCAAACTTCCAGCCCTAATAGTAGCCCATCGCCTTTACCGAGTAAGATAAATGAATATTTTTTATAATCTCCAAAAAATCAATTTGGGACAAACCAAATCCGATGACTTATTTTTCAAGCTATTAGACTTACGGCTACTTCTTGTGTATGGGAAATCAACATGGTGAATAAAATTTGACGGGACTCAACAATCATTCATTATCTAGTAACGACAACCATTAGATCAGCTATTGTGTTAAAAGGAACAAATTCACACTGGTTAATAGCGTAATGGTTATAACAAGAAGAAGAAATGAACTTAGGGTTGTTTGGAAGTTGGGAATCTATGAATATGTGTATTCTTGCAATGTATGTATTCTAAGTGTAGTGATTGTTAGGGGTCGTTTGGAAGTTGCGATTCTACAAATTGATGTATTGAATCAATTGATGTATTTTCAAAAAAAGGATCAATTGATGTATTGTTAATTGATGTATTGGATCAATTGATGTATTGGGCAAATACCATGTTTGGAAGTCATATTATGTTTTTGTTCTAAGAAAAAGAATAAAACATTTTTTATGTTGAATGGCATTAATACCCTCTCTTTTAGTTATAAAAACCCTTTCTCCACAGTTCACCTGTTGTCTCCCAATATCAAAGCCAAACTGAGCGAGAAACTCCGGCAGCCAATATCAAATGAGCTCCACGCGACGATTCCGACAAACTCCCGGCGAGATTCCAGAAGAGATTTTTGTCATCTGTATGTGCGGCTCTCCTGCCATTGTTAGAACGTCCCGTATGGCCAATAATCCGAACAGGAAGATCTTTGGCTGTCCCAAATGGAGTCCAGGGCAGGTAATTTCTTCGACTTCTCATGCTGCTTGTGCGATTGATCTTTGTGGGAATTGCTTGAAATGGATAACAGGTGGTTTGAGTTGGGATGTTGGATGCTGGTTGTGTTATTACAAACAAATGTTTCATTATGATGTGGGTTTTAGGGATTGCACTGGTTTGCTTAACCGATAGAAACTTTAATTGTGCAGTCGCAGAAAGCATGTCAATTTTTTTGTGTGGCATGATATACAGGTGGCAATTGAGAATGAGAAGCAAAGGTCTGAAGTTGTTATGTCCGATTTGAAGATGGAGATGACACGCTTGAGGAAACAAAACGAGACACTCCAAGACCGCAACAATGAGCTCCAAGAAGTGGTTGCTGAACTACTGGTGGGAAGGTCACAACTGAGAAGTGGTTTTTGTACTGAAGAAGAATTGTCCCGGCCTAAAAGTGAGGAATTCCATGAAATTGTAGAAAGGTTGAGTCTTCTAGAGACCATTGTGCTCGGATCCAATGATGCATAGTATAGTTGACTATCTGTAGAACTATTGTAGTGGTCAATGTAAGCTTGTCTACTAGTTGCTGTAATTGCTTGGAAACAAACCAGCAAGGATGTTTGTCCTGTTTGTAGTGGTCAATGTAATTAGTTTATGAAATGAGCAAGGATGTTTGTCCTGTTTATTCTCTTAAACCACACCATCAGACCACTTGTTCATCATAAACCAGTAACATCATTTATATTAAACCAACAGAAACAAACCAGCAAGATCATTATATCACAAACCAGTAGATGCACCACAAACCAGCAACATCAATAAGGAAAATCTACCTTGTCCTAAGGCCATTATAGATTGGCTAAAACTATGGAGTAAAACCTTAAATTTTCACATCAGGTTCTCCATTCATACAAAAGCTATCTTAACCATATGGTAACTTGGTTACAAGATAGTCCTACACTCATACTAACCATCTTCATATGCATCAGTTGATGAGGCGATAGAGGAAGTGAACCTTCTCTTCATCCGTAGGCAGTTGGTAGTACGATTGGGCGATCCCATCCTCCTTCATAAGAATCATGGCAGCTGATATCACTTGATCTTGTGACAGGGCTTCTAACTGTGACAGCTCCTCAAACAAGGTTCCTCTCCTTATCATCAAAGGATCTTCATGGCAGAAGCTATTCGCCATCCTCTCAATGTTCATGGTAGCCTTCTCCATGAGAGGACGCATTTTTTCTATTTCAGAAGCCATGACAACACTGCTACTTTTGAACTCTTATCAATCTTTGATCATTTGTTGCTTCCGGTTGCATTTGTTGTCTTTGCACGAACAGGTTCTGGATCTTCCAGCAACTCCCTATGATTAATACCTTCATTTATCATCTCCTCCAGCACACGTTGACTTGTTTCTTCATCGTACATGATGGGGTCCTCACTCCTACCCCTTCGAACATGAGCATCGAACTCCATATCAGCTGCATACCTTGCTTGACCACCTACTGCCCTATCCTTGCCAAATACTCTGGCAAGCTGGTCATAGTATATAAAAGCTGTCTTGTTCAGGCCAGAAAAGTGTTGATGGCTCTGCAAAATGACAAAGGTGAAAGGACAATGTTCAAAACCTGGAATTAGATAATACAATAAATATGTAAGTGTAAGGAATAGGAGACTGATACCTTCACCCATTCCTTGAAAACATCATCATCAGCAACAATGATCTTCTTAGACTCATCCCAGCCAAAACCACTACAACTCCCATTCTTGACATCATATATGGCATTGAACTTGTTCTTGAACCAACGGTGTCTTGATCTTACATTCAGGTTAAAACCTGGAATCTTCTGCTGCAGCATAGCTTCAAGTTTCTTGAAACCTCCATTCTTCAAGTTCCCAGACTCCACTTCCTTTGACTGAACCAGGTCTAGCATGCACTCGATGAAAAACGCATCATGTAGTTCCATCCACGACTTATACTCCCTTAACCTGACTTGTGCAGCATCATTCATTCCCCCATCAACACCTTCATCTGCTGCCATTCTTCTACTGTTAAATTACACCTGCAATAAGGTTTAAAAAAACAAAAGGAATGAAACAGCAAAAGTAACGGTTGTGTAAGGAACAAAAGGGGAAGATCTCTGGCACATGTTACAGAATTGGTAAGGGTTTAAAATAACAAAAGGAACAAACCAGCAAAAACTTCTGGTTTCAGAACAGACTGCTAAATGGACACTGCAGACAGCAGAACCCCACTGGTTTATATTGAACTAATATTGAATACACCCAACAACCCAACAACAACCACTATTAATGACCATATCTATAGCATGTCCTTGTGCAATCTTTCTTCTGCTGTCATTAGACTTGATGCATCATAAATGAGACCCCTCTTACACACTATAAACACACCAGTTCTTTTAAAAGTACAACAACCACACGTTTACATTCAATACATTAGTTCAATACATTCAGGCCACTTACAAGACACCATGCCTTGGTTCAATAAACAAAAGGGGAACTCTAGGCCAATACACAACCACAAAATGCTGGCATGTCCCATTTTTCCAACCATAAGTCTGCTAAAATAAATAGTAGCTTAACATACATTAATCAACTAGTAGCCCAGCTTCTAGCAGCCCATAAATCTCCAGCCAATTGTTGTCTAAACTCTGTCCATTGGACTGAAGGTTGAATATGCAGTATAAGTTCTTCATCCACGACTTCAGGTTCTTCCTCCGGGTCTTCATCAATGTACAAACGCTCAAAAACATCAGCACCATTCTCTCCACGAATGAAGTTATGTAACAAACAACATGCATTGACGATTTTTGTAACCATTTCGGTTGAAAACCACGTGGTGTCTCTCAAGATTGCCCAACGCATCTTCAGTATGCCAAAAGCTCGCTCTACACCATTTCTTGCTGTTGAATGCCTCATATTAAACATCTCTTCAGTGCTTCTTGGTCGTCTCCCACCCCACTCTTTCAGGTGATAACGTTGCCCTCGAAAAGGAGAGAGGAATCCTTCACAATTGCTGTAACCAGCATCTGTTAAGTAATAGTAACCTGTCGAGGCATGCAATAAAACAAATCAGAATTTATAATTCCAATACAATAGGTAGATTTAGACAGGAAACCATTCAAACAAACCTCGTGGAACCTTCAAACCATTAGGCCTAATAAGGGCGTCTCTCAAAACCCTCCCATCATGAGCCGACCCCTCCCAACCAGCCAAACAATAAATGAACTCCATATTTTGATCAACCACTCCAAGGACATTCATTCCAATAGTTCCCTTACGAGTACGGTATCTTTCTTGATTCTCTTTCGTTGCACGTACATTGACTATTGTCCCATCAAGTGCTCCAAGGCAATTCTAAAACGGAAAAAAATCAGCATCTATCAAAATGGAGCAAGGGACAGAACCATCATATAACAAAACACAAAATCTGCAGTATATACCTTGAAGTGCTTCCATTTTGGATCATCTGAATTTTCAAGATCCGGCTTGGGTTTACGAAGTAAGATAGAGTGAAGTTTCAAAACCGAACGAAGAACACTCTTGATCACCCTACAAATCGTTTCTCCTGAACGACGAAAGGTAACTTGAAGGTGATGATTCTTCTCGTTATGGGCTATGGTGTAAAGAAAAATTGCAACCATTTCATCTATCTCAATGTTCCAAGTACACCTAAGGCCACCCTCATCTCTAAGAAGCTTACAAAGCTTCTGAAAAGTCCTACAGTTCATTCTAACAAGCATGGTGCAAGATATGTCGCCATGGGAAACGATACACCGCATAAAAGAGTTCCTAGCTAATTGTCTACCTATTGGTGTCTCCCAAGAAGAAACATGCTCTAACATCTGCGCACCTTCAGCTTCTAACGCATCATAATATTGTACGAGGAGCTTGATGAAATAGAGCAAGAGCTCCAAGTACATGGACACTGCAACAATGACAGCCTTCTTCCTCTGCTTAGGGCACCTTGCCATGATCTGCAATTGAACGAGGAAAGAGGAAGAATTATAGAGGAAATCACATATGGGTACTGATTAAGATTGAGGGATGTACCTGTTCGATTAACCAAAGTCTGATACAACAGATTCTACAAACTAGCTCCTAGACGATTTTCGTCGATTGCGGCCCTGAAGTTTTTGATTATCGACGATCGTTCGATGACGGGATGTAGAAGAGGCGGCCGGCTACGATGCGATGGTGAGGAGAATGAGATTATGGGTTCGTCGGCCTATAGGAACCCTAAGGGAGACAAGCTGACAACTATTATCAAGAGTAGGAGAGTTTTTTTTGTTCTCTGGTTTCTCAAATCTCTGAAACTTGTCGAAGGTGGGGAGAGATATTCCTGGTGAGGGCAATTCTGGAATTAACAAAAGTTATAAGGGACAAAGATGGAACAAAATTGTGGTACAAAATCCCTCATCACAATCTTGGCTTTAGCTTGAGATTGATAATCACTCAATATGAGGGATTGTGTGTGGGGCCATTAAAAACAAATACATGTATTCTAGCTGAATTTTAGGCAAAAAAAACGACTTAATTGCCAGAAATAGATGATTGTAAGAATATGTTGTTTGTTAGTTGTGATTCTCACTTTTAAAGAATATAAGAATTCTCACTTTAATAACCAAATAGACTTATATAACCTTGAAATTCTCTTTATATAGTAATTAAATAAGGGGCAAATATGAAATATATATATAAAAAAATAGAGATAAGAGGTGCTAAAAAGCAATTGCAAAAGTAAAGCAAGAGAATCTCACCTTTTTGTAGAGATTCTAAAATGAATGATTCTAGCCATTTGAGATTCTAAAGTACCAATTAAATGCATGCATTTTGGATAAGTTTATGTCAAAAGAATGATAGATTGTAAAGAATACACACATTCACTGAATCACTCATTTAGACTCCTAACTTCCAAACGACCCCTTCCAGTATAAGATGAAGTGTTCTACCGTTTTTTGTTATTATCAAAGTGCTCACATATATTAGGACTGATAATAAAATGATCCCAAACATTTAAAATATAACAAAAATGTTGAATAAGTATCAAGATATACCAAAACAACTATATCATTTCTTTTCATCCAAAATGGCCAATTAGCTTGCTTACGATAATAGAGAATTTTACAGGTTAGTTAGGTGTATTGTATCATCGTATCATGATGTCGTGAATCGGTATATGAAGAGTTGTTAACATTATCCATGGATACCCGAAACCCGATCAGATAGGTATATGGTTTGATATTCTATCCGATGCTTATATAGGTATCGATATGTGCAAAACCCCAACTATTTTGGGTTAGAAAAAACATATATGCATTATCTGACTCCGACTTGTTATCATGTCTACCAATATTGCATTTTAATGATAATATTATACATAAAACCTAGATTTTTATAAAATAAAATATATAGAAAGAGCCAACAACAAAAAGAAACACATTACTCCAAATCTCCAAATAGCACAACCCAATGAAAACCCATTGGTTGCAAACAGTGTAAGGGGCACAGCCACATGTAAGACCAGTGCTTTGTTGGGCGGGGGCGCCGGGCGGCAGAATCGTAATGACAAGGAATGTTGTGAATACCCTTGCCGGGGGCAGGATACTATGACTACCCCGAAAGGGGTTGGGTTTTTGACACCCCCTCCTGCAGCTATCCACGTGTCCTTCATCTTTGGGTAAGTACTAATGATTATTGCTTTATTGGGAAGTTGTCATTATTACTGCTTTATTGGGAAAATTCTCATAATAATGATGCATGGGAAAGTTCCCATAATAATGATACACGGGAAAAAAACAATCTTTCATCTCCCCTTCTCTTCCTTTCAAATTTCTTTCCACCAGAACCCTCTCCCGGCGTCTTTTTAGTCCAGCAAACCCTCCCTCCGGCGGTCCACCCTCCGTCGGCCAACTTCCATCAGCGGCCCAACTTATCGTTGCCTCCCTTTCCGCCGACCCTCTCCCGTCCCTCCGTTCCCCTCGAGTCTCCTCTCCTGTGACATCGACTTCATCACTTCACACGGCCGAAAATCATCAAGATGATCTGGACGATTTCGTCTCTAACGTCGAGCATATGGATGACGACGGCAGAGGAAATGCACTAGTAGAGTGGTACGTGTACCAGTGGAGTGGTACTTGTACCAGTGGATTGGTACATCGACTTCATCACTTCACGCGGCCCGAAATCATCAACGTCGAGCATATGGAAGATGGTGGCGTTGCCGTGAAAGTGGAGCCAATTAGAAACGCCGAGGAACATCAAAACAATCTCAGTAAGGATCTGTATTCATGTCTCGTCGACTTCTCCCGCCCGACAATGTACGAGTGCACTGGTATTTTGTATCATTGAAGTGATACAATGCCACTGCAATGGTATTTTCCCCCTGAAAAGATCCTGACGGACACCACTAGTTATTGAAGCTGCGTAAACAACCTAGTTGCTTTGCATTAGGTGTTGTCAATACGGTCGTAAACTAGTATATTTGTTTGAATGAACATGTATCAGTGACATGACAAGAGTAACAGTGCTTACCCTTAATGTTGTGGTTTTATGTACCAGTCTAGTGATACATTGTTCCGGGACCAATATTGAAGTTTGTAAACTTGTTTTAAAATTGTTGAGGGACAAATTTCTAGATGAAATATTGATGTTCAAACGTTACCATTGCAGCATTAGATATAATATACTTGTACCACTGAACTGATACATACACCACTGAACTGATACATGTACCACAGAGATTATGGCATGAGGGAATTTACTGGTATTTGTATCATTGCAGTGGTACTGCATTGTTGCTCCGTTATTGTTTATCATTGTTATGAAAAATATCATTGCACTGGTATTGTTCTCACTCCAACTCGTATTTGCCACTTCTAATGTACCACTTGATTTGTATTTTGTATGGGAGAAATACACTACACGCCACTAAACTATAAGAATTGGGGGAAGGATACTACTAATGTGAAAATAGAGCACCAGATACCATTAAAGTTCCCAAAATATGCATCCATTAAATTCTTCATCAATTTGATTAACCAAATGAATACAATATATTTTTCCACCTCAAGCCTCTTTAACTTTCGTTGAAACTCGACATTAAGAGTTGCTGGACCATAAATATCTTCATTGTCATTGCTCCATTTTGCAAGCTCCCTAATCGCTCTCGCTTGTAGTCCGGAACGTGCTCTACTCCCTGCTCCGTGCGATTTGTCTTTCCTAGCGTGCATCCGATGCCGCTCCACAACTTCTCGAGGAACTCACTGCTCTGACTGAAATCAAAGAAGGTAAAATCAAAAGTCAAACCAATAAATATAACTACTGATAGATGAGATCAACAATAAGACTTTCACTGCAGATATATCAATCCATTGATAGCTCTATCCTGGAACCATTCTAAATATAAACTATTACGGTAGTTGTACTTTAAACAACCATAATGATTTTGTTTGTACCACTACAGTGATAGCACTACCCACAAAAACATCACAATGAACTACCACTGCAGCGATAGATCTACCACTGCAACGATAGATCAACAACTGCAGTGATAGATCTACCACTAAAGTGATAGACACCGTATGCCACAAAAATATTCACATGGTTAACTATATCAATGTGGTGATAGACTGCAGTCAAATAAACAACACTACATTATCCAAGAATCAACTATCACTGGAGTGGTATACTTCCGTACCAGAATCAACAATTTATACCACTCCAGTGATAGACATACCAGTGCACAGGTATTGATACCATAAGAAAAAATCCAGTTCTCGAAACTCAAAAACACAGATCTGGGTGATGAAAAGACCATTGCACTAGTACTAATACCACGCGAAAAAGCCATATATATGAGTTTGGGAGAGAGTGCTACCTCAGATTCTTTTTCGTCGTCTTCGCCGGAAAGGGGAGGAGGGCCAACGCTGGAAGGGTAGGAGGGTCGTCGTCTTCGCCGGAAAGGTGAGGAGGGTCATCGTCTTCCCTGTCGATCCCTTCGCGTCGACGATCGAAAAGATAGACATGTGGCGTGAAGTCGGAGGATGGCCGACGGATGGGATGGGCCGCCGATGGTCGTTGAGGAATCGTAATAGAGGCCGGAAGGGTGATGATTCCGTCGCGGGGAGGGTTTCCATAGATAGGTTATTGAAAGGGAGATAGGAGGAGACGAGATGGAGTGATAAAAGGGTGAGGATTAATTAATTTTGTATTAACCTTGGGAACCATTTTTTCCTCGATACCCGATTTCTTTCCTTTTCAATGTAGGTTATAGAGTAATAATTACGTGATTAGTACTCAATAAATATATGTTTAATCCTAACCATTCGTTTAACACTAATAAAAATGGATGACATCTAAATAGGGTGTCAAAAATCAAACTCCTTATAGAGGTAGTCATGCTAACCGCTCCCCCGTTGCCGCGATCAGTATTGCGCCCGGGAGAAGAAGAACTACTCGCTTCATTGCTGGCTGGTTTAATTTCCTTGCGTTATTCTATATATGCATCGACTTTTATAATTAATTATCATACATTTATATATATATATATATATATATATATATATATATATATATATGGTGTCGTCTTCGGTGCACTCACTTTTTTGGGTGCGTTCAGTGCACTCGCTTCATAACCATCATTTTAAACATGCGATTTATGTAAAAATGACGTTAATCATCACTTATGATGTGATGAACAATAACGCACATGAATTTGCACAAAAACTATTGAAGATTTACTTTAATTTGAAGGATTTAGAGTTTAGAGATTTAGGGTTAGGGTTAGGGTTTACAATTTGGAGTTTAGGGATATAACTCAAAATTGGAGGTCTAAGGCTTAGGGTAATCGGCTAATTAGTTGTTATCAAATGTTATATTATCATATTACACTGATTCTACAAATTAAAATTCAACATCCGACACCTTAAGACTAGTTTTTGAGTTGGGTGCATTGAACGCACCCATTTTTGTGAGTGCACCGAAGTAGTCACCATATATATATATATATATGTTACTAGGGGAAAAAGCTATTTATAGTGCAAGGGAGAGATCCACCGGACCATGGAGAAATTTTCCGACGGCTGATCAAAACTGAAAAAATTAGGTGACCAAAACTACAACTTTTAGGCAACTGTAACTTGGATTCAAGTTTATATATAGGATAATAATAAATGGGTAAATTGCAAGGTTGGCCACTGGGATTACTAAAAGCATTCAAGTTTGGTCACTAAAAATATTTAATTTCATTCGTGGTCACTAGATTTAGTAAAACATGTCATGTTTGGTCACTCTCCGTCCAACTCCGTTAATTCTGCCTAATGTGGCAGTCAACTCTAAGAGTTGACCGTTAAATGTATGAGGTGGCAATTAAAAAATTAAAAAATTTAAATTTAAAATTTCCACATAATTTTTTTATTAAAAATAAAATTAAAAAAATATACATTTTAATTCTCTAAACCTCACCCCTTTTTCTCATACCCGAGATTTCTAGCTCTCACAAATCCCAAATCCTGGGCCGCGACGATGGGGAAGAATGGCGAGCAGCGGGAGATGGAGGGTTGGTTGCGCCGGAGCAGTGTAGTGAGGGAAGAAGAAGCGAGGTGGATCTCTCAACTGGAAGCTGGCAAGCCACTACCCGAGGCACCGCGATGGGTCGGAGTGTAGACGACGATGGGCGGGCTAATTGCAGTCCGCAGAAGAGAGAGTGTGATCGACGTGAAGCCCGACCACACAAACACAATGGTGACTGACTGGTGAGAGTCCTCCCTCTCCTCCCCATCAGCCCTTCGTATAGGTGAGCCAACACCCAGAATAGTCTCGATGCCCTCTTCCCCCTAGAACCCACCGACCTTGTACTGTAAATACATCGAACTCCCTGTACCACAAACAGAGGCTTCGGGAATTCCTTTCGCTTGAAATTGACAAGTGGAACAGGGGCCCAGTCGCATACTAAGGCCACCGTTTCTCCTCCACCGCCGGTCACCGTTATACACGAGAGCTTCGCTACTTTTGGCCGGTTGATTGGTTAGATTTAAGGCTAATCTTGCTTTTGCTTGTTCCTATTTTCATGAAGCCTTTTCTTTTCATAATTCGCCTGTGAAGCTTTTCAACGAAATGGGCTCTTTATTCCAGAACCCCATTTTTAATCTGAATCTTCTAGTTCCCTGGGCACTAGGTTTCTTTCAATCCATGGAGGTATTTGGATTAGCAGATATTGATGACTTGGGGAGGATGCAGATTGTAGTAGCTGCTCCGGCGCAACAAATCGCCTCTTCATCCCTCACTACTTCAATCGTTGTGTCACCGCTACTCCGGCGCAACCAACCCTCTATCTCCCGATGCTCGCCATCTCTTCCCCTTTGTTGTGGTCCGCGGAGAGTTAAAACGATACCGCAAAACAGAAAAACGATACCGCAAGGAAGCTCAGCGATACCGCGACACTGGAAACGATATTGTTTACCAGAAAACAAGATGGGGGCCGCGCGAGTAGTATTGGTGTTGGAAAAGGAGTTTTTATTATTACTATTATTATTATTATTATTATTTATTATTATTATTCCTTGTCGGAAGGGGAGAAGCGGTACCGCATGGAGACAAGCGGCATCGTGGAGAATTAAAATGGTACCGCGGATTTAAAAACGATGCCGCGAGAACCTTGATAAGCGGTACCGATTAATTAAAAATCATATTGGGTATGTGAAGGGCCCAAATTCCGCCCACCCCAATGCAGGTGCAAACTCTTGGCATTTCAATAAATTGGTATTTTTTGACTATGTTAGCGGTGTCGTTTAATTAAGAACGGTACCGCGAGTAAGCCCAACGGTACCGCTGTATTAGCAAACGACAGTGTTTAAAATAAAAAACAATGTCGCGAAAGGAAAAGCAAACGGAGCTGTTTTGGCGCTAATGATGTCGTTGGTCAACACACGAGTTTGACTAGTGATGGTCGGATTAATTAATTAATTAATATTTTCAATGATTATTTAGGACGGTGTTGTTTAGTTGAAAAGATGTCGCAAGAGGAAAAAACGACACCACGGATTATAAAATGATAACGCGAGTAGGCCTAACGATGCCGCAATAGTTAAAACGACAGTGTTAAATTCAAAAAAGTGTCGCGAAGCTCAAAGCTCAACGACATCGTGGGACTAGAAAACGATGTTGTTTAACTAAGAACGGCGCCGAGGGGTGAGAGTTTGATGGCGAGTTAACAACGAGGGCTGGTTTAATTAATTAGTATTTTATAATTATTCTAGACGGTGTCAACACTACGGTACTAGGAAAGAAACGTATTGTTTAGTCAAAGACAATGT